AGCCTAAATGGTATTAGGGTCCCTAAATATGATTTAAGCTATAAAGCCCTAAACCCTGAAACCTAAAACCCTAAAACCCTAAACCCTAAAACCCTAAAACCCCTAAACCCTAAAACCCTACAACCTCTAAGCCCGTAAAAACCAGGGCACCCTCGACCCCTAACCATTGAGCCCCTCCGCTGCTCGCGGTAAACACGACGAGTTCTGCAGCTCTAAAAAACCCTCTTCACAATCCCAAAGGACAAGCTAAACCCATCAGGTAGGTGCAGGCCCCAAATACTTGAAAAATGTTCCCTTACAATACGTGATCCCCAAGACGAAGCAAAAACGAGCAGTCTTAACTCCTCGTATCCCCCTTTAAAAATCTAACAATTCCCCCATATGATGCCCATATAACCACCCTTTACGGAGCTTAGACTAAGGCTCATTTAGGGATCGGCTTAGCCAAGCGCCTCCCCCGTAGCCCAAGCAGCTTTAGATGGGTTTAGGGTTTAGGGTTTAGGGTCTAGTGTGATGACTCAGATAGCCCTTACGTGCTTTCTATTCCTCCCATATAGGCCTTATTGAAGCCTTAGGTACGGGTAGCCGCCGAGTAACTGTGAATTTTGGAAGTTGCCTCAACAGAAGTAAAACTGGGTTAAGGGTTTAGGGTTTGACGTTCAGGGATTAGGGCCCTCATTTAGGAGCCCCGACAAGAAGGATTCGCATGTAGGGATTTCCACTGAATACGATGTATTACGGGTCCCAGGACGTTCCTGTTATCATATGTGTCCCTATTCAAATCTCCCCCATGTTCAAAACAGGAATTTAGCCAAGCGTCATCTATCAGGGTTTGTAAATGCCGGTAAAATCAATACAGACCCCAACTACTATAATCCTCAAAATAATTAGGACCCTCCCCCTAATTTTGGGAAGCCCCCATAACAACCCCGAAGCCCTAAACCCTAACCCTTAGACCTTTAATCCCTAGACCCTACCCCGAAATCCTAAACCCGTAATCCGTAAACCCCTAAACCCTAAACCCTAAACACCCTAAATCCTCAATCCTAAACCCTAAACCCTGTAGTGAAAGTGCCATGTCTCCAGGAACATCCTGAAGGCAAGCTGGGCCCATGGTGTCAGGCAGGGCAGTCAGGGCTCTTAAGTCTAGCCAGGTTTAGGATTTAGGGTTT